ACTAAATGATGAATCACGACCTGCAAGGCACGTGGAATAAATTAAAATTCCCAGTTTATGGTTACAACTATTTTGATAGAAATTCAGACGGGTTAAGCAGTCTTCATCTAAAATCGTACCTCAGAGTCCCGTGTGTTTTTCCTTTTCAGGGAAAGGACCAAATGAGAGGAACAGTCAAGTGCTCGAGATTTCATGCTTCAATGCTCAAACACTTGGGGGACTATGTGATATATACGTAGACAAATGCATAAAGAAGACTAAGAAGATTGAGATAGTCACGAGTAAAAGAGTCAAGTGCAGAGTAAAAGCTAATGAAAGATAGTCACGAGCCAAGGCCAAGACAAAACCTTACTATAGTTAGGTTAAAAGCAATGTACCAAAACAGGTTATAAATAAAAACCTTGTATTTAAAGTTCATGTACTAAAAGTTATTACATGAAAACCTTGTATTTTAATTCTTTCTTTTAAAATCTGTTATGAGAAAAACAATTACGAAAAAGTTATAGATGTTATTTAAATACATGTAAAGTGTTACTTAAAACTTGGCAAAGTTCAAATAAAAACTTGTCAAAGTTATTTCAAGAAACATGTGTATTCCTATTTCTTTGTCGTATGTTAACACCATTATGAAGTTGAGACGTCTTCTTCATTAAGTGTAGAATATAAAAGGGCCCTCTTTTATAATTCATGATTGATTTAAGACATTCATGAGAAAAAGAAAGCATTTTACAAAATAAAAATGCAAGTTATTCAGTAAGTCCTTAAAAATAAAGGCGAGAATAAACAAAATAAAAGTTTAGAAAGCAACGGAAACTTCATAATAATAAAACAGTTTAGACTAAGTATGGACTTAGTCATAATTAAAAAAGTTGTTTAAACAAAATGCCCCATAAAAGGTGTGGGGACTTCACGTTTTCCACAAAACCCTTAAAAAGACCAAGGGTTACAACCAACTACAAAAATAAAAAGGCAACAAAGGTATTCAAACTTTTCACTGAGAACTTGAAGGAACTGAAATAGGGACATCAACAGCAGTGGGCGGCTCAGCTTGACTCGAAGGAGTGGGGATACCCGTATTATCTTCAACTTGTTCCGAAACTTCAGCCACGGGAGAAGAGAAATCTTGGTTCTGCTAAGTCTTCTCGAGAGCCTCTTTGATCTTGGCTAACTCAGATTCTAAGTTGAAATTCTCCTGGCTAACTTGAACAAGGGTATCATGGCGAGAATTTAAAAACGCCCAACTCACTTCAATGGCAGATTTCTCTTCAAGGATCTCATAGTCTCTTTCCCAATCAGCAACTTCATTTCTTAATTTTTCATTTTCAGCTAAGGCAGATTCCTGAGAAGCTTGGAGAGCAGCTTGAGAACTCTCTAAAAAGCGAACCTTATTAGAAGATTCGCGGAGGTCTTCTTGAGTTTGTGTTAGTGTTTACACAAGTTCTCCAGCATATGCTTCTATCTCAGCCAAGAGAGCCTTTAACTCTCTAATCTCCTCACTAGCCTTGGAAAGTTGCTCAGAAAAAGAGGTCTCAAGACGTACCTTTTCTTTACTCACTTGACTTAAGGAAGCTTTTACAACTGCCAGCTCTAAATTCAAGACACTTACCTGCTGCTCCAAGGTACTTCTACTTTCTTCTAAGGTTTCCACATCAATTTGAAGACTGTCACACTTTCCCTTCCAATTATCCGCCTCCATCTGATAGTCACGCATTAATTGCTCTGAAAGGGTAACTCTTTTCATCATCTCTGTGCCAATTAAATTAACCTAAAAGAAAAGGGAAGATGAGAATCCTGAAAATAGGTGAAGGATAAAATAAAGTTTGAAAAAAGGAGTACCTTTAAAGAAGCATGCACTATGTCATTCATCAAGGTCAAAGAACTGTGACTCTCAAGCTTAGCCTTTTCGACTGGACCAATCAAAGGCTTTAGCCACACGTCTGCTTGACCTGCTTTCCTTAAAAGATTACCCTCAGTAGGGACTTCAATGGTGACTTGCTTCATAACAGTATCTCCACTTGAGGAACCAACCTCAGTATGATGAACATGTGGAGGAGGAATCGTTGAAGGAGGAATAGTGGAAGTAGTAAAAACAGCCTGGGGAGGAACAGAAACAGCTATGATTGGCAAAGAAGGAGTCACAGGAACGGAAGTGGCAAAAGAAGCCAGGGGTGCTTCATCAGAAACCAGACCAAAATCTTCACTACCAAACCCGCGATCAAAAAGCTGCTCAACAGAATCATGAGCAGCAGCGGGAACATCATCAACATCATCATCAGGGATCGCCACCGGGGCTTCAATAGACTCGGTGAGAGGAATAGAATGGTGGGGGGATGCTTCATCATCAGAGATAATACGTCTACGAGCCCGCGGCCTCGTTATCAATGAACCCTCATCTTCCTCCTCTTCAGAGTCTTCGCCATCAACGACTTTTCTTTTCAATGAAGAACCCAAAATTATTTCCTGGGCCTTTTCCAAGGAGATACGAGAAGCCGCGATCGCCTCGGCAGTAATCCCTCGAATTGCAAATCCTGATAAAAAGAAGGATCAAAATAAGTTCAGAAAAAAAAGCAATATGTGAAATAAAAAAAACTCTTACCGTGAGTTTTTACTTTCCAACCAAATCGTTGGGAAAGAGCCTTCCAAGAGCTACCCTCCATTGGCCAGCATTCAACATTTTTCCTACCCAAACACGAAAATCTGGAATATCATCCACAATTCCCATGGTTGCTGAAAAAGAAAAGGAAAATTAAAATAAATAATCATCAAAATTAAAGGGAAAAAAGGTACGAGAAAATTACTCACGTGCAAAATTCCACTTCTCGGGAAAGGGAACGTTTTCCTCACCCACCAAACTAACGGTGGGGGCAGCAACAAACCGGGCATAACAGCCACGATCTCTGTCATCCTCTCACTACTAGAAATTAGGTCTATGGCAACCCTTCCAAAACCGTGCCAATAGATACACTAGCCGTCCCTATAGGGCTATCGGAACGGATTTGGAGGCGTTCCGGGATTCAGTGTTACAATAGGTCTATTGGAACGGTTTCAAAAATGTCTCCATCTAAGGGGTATTGTAACGGTTATGGTACTGTTACCATTGCTCTATCTATAGGAACGGTTGTATTTTCTATTGGGACGGTTATAAACCGTTGTGGTATAATTATTCCGGCGATTTTTTAAGTCTATTGCAACGGTTTTGATGATATTGCAACGGTTTTTGTGATATTGGAACAATTATCAGTACCCTACTGCAACAGATATTGTTACATATTGCAACGGTTATTAGGGGATGCTATTATTATTTGCTAGGTCTACTGGAACAGTTATATGCTCTATTGCAACAATTCACAATTGAATTTCTGATATTTATGGAAGCAAAATAAGGAATATTTTCCTATGCAATGAAATTTTTTACGTCATAACTTATATAAACCACAAAATAAAATTAAAATATTCAACTAGCATTACTCATATACAAAAACAAAATGTGAATACATTGTTTGATCAACAATTCAAAAGTCAAAATAGATGAGTTTGCATACAAAAAGTTCTAAACTAAAATATCTTTGAACATGATGATAGAAAGTTTAACAACGATCAACAACACTCAAGTAAGGTCTTCGTCACTGCTTTCTTCCGCAATCGCTGCACCTACAAAAGACAACCAGAAATAATTAAATAAATTTTTTAAAATATAATTGAATCACAAAGTAATTGAATGACCAATTTGATAACTCCAAAATTTTCGAACGCTCTAAATTCTTAAATTTTTCGGCAGAGTTTCCTTTGTAAATACGACTATCCTAAAATTTTCAACCTGCTCAAAATATCATTATCCTTGTGGTGCATACCCAAATCAAAAAACATAAGGAGATACATCTAACTAGGGAAGTAACAAAACTATATAGCACTTCTCTGATCAGAAAACAAAACTAGGGAAGTAACAAAACTATATATCCAAATCAGAAAACATAAGGAGATACACCTAACTAGGAAAGTAACAAAACTATATAGCAAGACAAAGGGCAAGACAACCCTCAGATATATTGGCCAAACACGGGCCTTTGAACTCTTATAGCACTTCTCTGATCATTCATTTTTTCAAAGTTGTTCTGAAACTAAGAAAATTTGAAAATTTTAGCCAAACAAAACATATTGTTCTGCTATGGAAACAAGAGGTAGTGACAGGCATAATTGTGTGACTCTTCAGCTTTTATGCTCCAATAGCAGAGCATGAAGACAGACAGAGACAACCCTAGTTGTAGCCAAAACTATAATTTTTTACCAAATTTTAGCTCAGGACAAAGTGATCCTTATATGAATATGGAGAGAGCATATGACAGCGTCTATAGAAATTACTCTCCCACATAAATACTCCAGAAAACAACTGATATTGGATCCCATTTTGCACGCAATTTAGTTGGGTAATAGAAATTATAAAAGAATAAGATAAAAGGAAAGAACTACCAACACAATTCAAGAACTGACTCCAAAACTTAGGTGTTAAAGAGCCGTCAAAAAACCATCACTATTTTTTCCCTTCCTTTTGATAGGTAAAGACAACCACACAGTTAAAAAGCCCTCATCTATGCAAATCATTACTATATATGAGAAAAACACATAAAAGAGTGAAATTTTTCATAAATGCGAAGAGTATAAAATAAGTGGCAAAGACAGAGTGTGACATTCATCGAGGGAGCAGCTTCACCAGAAATATTGAGAATGAAATGTTATTGAAATAAATTGATGAAGTATCCCGCAAGAGTCACACAATTTCCATAAGTTGAATCATCACACAATTATGTCTCTACACAAGAACTTGGCTAAATAAGCAACGCCACACAGAAATCCACCGAGGTCACTTGGGATCTACAAAATCACTCAACAAAGTACCATAATCAAATATATCCAGACACAATCTTCCACAACGCGAGTTTGCTAAAATTGATAACAGAAAACTAAAATTGATAATGCATTTCTACAAAGTTTAAATCGTGGCCTTGCTGATGGAAAATAGGCCTGGATGAACATAAAAGATTTCTCTTACAAAATGGCACTGCATCATACTTGATGTTTGATGCAACAGAACCAAGATTTCATAGCACAACTGTTAAGGCATAAGCTATTGAACTGTATAGAGAGAGAGAGAGAGGAATACAATAGTTTTTGACGGAGTAGAGAAGGATTTTGTACACTAGAGGAATACAACAGAATGCGCACATGAAGTACCAACTTAAGACAGTAGATCTCACAAAAATTATTAAATTATCAATGAGTTAATACTTGGAATGAGTTGGCCTTCTTTGTTGGTAGCAGTAGATGGACGATGGATTGGTTGCAATGCTGTTTGCTGAGCAGATGAAGCTTCTCCTAATGAATTGTCACTCAATGCTACTAGAATAATGTCAACATCAATATCAATTCCTGAACGCTGAAGTCGTGCAAGAACATCTGCAACAACTTCTTGACGGATAGTTGCCTTTTGTTCCTCAATTTTTTCCTCCATTCTTTGTATCTTCTCCTCCAATTTTTGTATAGAATTTGAAGTATTCGAAGAGGGTTCAAAATATCCTACTTTTCCTCTTAAAGAAGTTCTTGTAGCCCCCCGTCCATACAATCTCAGATGTCCCGGATGTTCTGGTCCCATGACAGATGCAAATGCCTCTACGGACTCATTGCCATTTTCTTTTTGTTGTGCTTCAATTTCCTCCATTTCATCCTACAAAGCAAAATCAAAAAAATGTAATTCATGTAAATAAAAAGTAAACAAATAGAAACAAATAATTGATCTCGATATAACATTAATTAAATATAATCGCACAATTTTACTAGTTGTATCTTCATCCGAGGACTTGTATGATCGCCCAACTTTTCTTTTCCTTGTAACAATAAAGACTTCCTTTGCTGATAAAGGATCCGAAGTTTCCTTTTCTTTTTCCTAGTTACATGAAAGTGAGTTAGCATTCCCAGTGATCTGCCATGAACTAAACAAAAGCTAAAATTGAAATTTTTTTGCCACGATTTGCTAGTTACACACCAACTTAGAGCGAACTAAAGCAAAACTTCTTTTTCCAGCAGTGTGAGGATTCTTCAACTTTTTTCGTTTCTCAATGCTAGTTTTAGACATTCTCTGCAAACAGAAAGAAACATCAAACAATGAAATATATAATGCTTCCTGTTAAAATATCAAACAGAAAGGTACCAGAGTCATATATAATGCTTCCTGTTAAAACATCAAACAGAAAGGTACCAGAGTTTTAACTGTGAAATCTGCAGCATACGAGGTTTTAAACATAAGTACACAGCAACAAGGGGCTTAGCTATGGAAGCATAATTGGAGGTTGAAGGTTCCTTTAAAGTAATTGTGTATTGGTCAAACAGGTTGTTTCGACACATAAGAGCTTAATGAAGAGAGGAATATAATGCCTCTGTGCTCCAAATGTTTTCTGTGTGCAGCAAACACTTCATTCTGCTGCCACTATTGCTAAAAACACTATATGAATTATCTACTATATGAAACATAGTGCAGCAAACATTTCATTCTGGTGAATTACCTATTAGAAGCAGAGAAAAGTTTGGCCACTATTGCTTAAAGTAATGGGAAAACAGCACTTCATTCTGCTTCCAGAAATGGACATGTGCAGGTTGTAAAGGCCCTTTTGAATAAGGAGCGGGGGATCGCGAGCCGGATGGATAAGAAGGGGTAGACTGCTCTTCACATGGCTGTCAAAGGACAAAATCTTGAGTTGTAGAGGAGCTGATTAGAGAAGATGCTAAATCGATAAATCTGGTCGACACAAAGGGCAATGCAGCATTGCATATTGAAAATGTTCAATACTTCAATTAATTGGGCAGAAATTGGGCAGAAACAGGAAAAATTGGGCAGAAAGGTCAAGCACTCTTCGGCCAAAAACCCCTCTGCAATTGATGCTTCTGGATGAGCTCGATTACGAACAAACGCCTTATACTTGCACAAGGTTCTTTCAGTGGAATACATCCAACGACAATGAGTTGGACCCCCAAGCTTAATTTCATTTACTAAATGAACAGGCAAATGAGGCATAATATCAAAATAGATTGGAGTGAAGATCATTTCAAGCTCACATGTAATTTCATTGATTTCAGACTGCAATCTATCAAGATCCTCTCGCCATACAACCTTAGCACATATGGCTCTAAAGAAGTTTCCCAACCTAATCAATGCCAAAGAAACATTCTTGGGTATTGATTTTCTAGCAGCAACTTGGAGCAAGTAATGCATTATAAAATGAGCATCATGACTCTTGTACCCCGATATTTTCATCTCTTTCTCATGCACACAACGTGATATATTCAAGGCACAGCCTTTTGGCAATTTGGCATTTTTAAAGACAGTGCAAAATCTCCTCTTCTCTTCTTGATTCATGTAGAAACAAGCTTTAGCCAAAGAAATTGTTCCACTTACAACATCATGTATTGGTTGAAGCTCTTTTCGTATTCCCATTTCTTGTAAATCGTAACGAGAATTTACATGATCTTTTGACTTTCCATCTATCTCCAATAATGTCCCAAGAATACTATCACATATATTTTTCTCAATGTGCATCAGATCAAGATTGTGCCTCAATTTGTTAGTTTCCCAGTATGGTAGTTCAAAGAAGATGGATCTTTTCTTCCATGGACACTTGTTATCCCGAGACCTTTTCTTTTGGACCTTTCCAAAGACATTCTTGAATTCACGCAACTCTTCAAGGACTTCTATACCCGACAAAGGAGTAGGTGCAAGTCTATGATCCTCCTTGCCATCAAATGATTTCTTATCTCTTCGAAACGGATGTTCATGAGGAAAAAATGCCCGATGACCCATGTAGCACATCTTACGACTATGCTTGAGATATTGAGAACATGTGCCATAATTAAGAGTGGGGCATGCAAATTTTCCCTTTGTGCTCCATCCAGAAAGCATTGCTAGTGCAGGAAAATCACTAATTGTCCACATTAACGCTGCACGTATTTGAAACATCTGGTTGGATTCGGCATAAAATGTTTCTACACCGAATTCCCATAGTTCTTTCAATTCAGCAATTAGTGGTTGTAGATACACATCTATATCATTTCCCGGAGATTACGGACCTGGGATGATCATTGACAATATTATATACTCTGGCTTCATGCAAATCCAAGGCGATAGATTATAGTTCATTAACATAACATGCCATGTGCTATGGGAAATGCTCATTGTTCGAAACGGGTTGAAACCATCACTTGAAAGACCCAATCTAACATTGCGAGGGTCGCTAGAAAATTCAGGGTGCAAGGAGTCGAATTCCTTCCAAGCATCACCATCAGCAGGATGTCTTATATTTCCATCATTCGGTCGTTCAGTGGCATGCCATCTCATAGCTTCAGCTGTTTCGGGACACATGAATATCCTCTGAAGCCAAGGCTTTAATGGAAAGTACCTTAAAACTTTTTCAGGGGTTTTGGTCTTTTTATTAGTCAAGACATTAACAACATTCTTCCATCTAGAAGACCCACACACAGAACAAGTATCTACATTTGCATTGTCATTCCAAAATAACATGCAATCATTAGGACATGCATGTATTTTTTCAAAATCAAGACCCAAATCTTTTATCATGCTTGTTACCTTGTAGAAAGACTCGGGTAGCTGAGCAAATGGAAATGCCTCTTTTAACAACTCCAACAAGTTTGTGAATGCCACATTACTCATCCCATGAATGCATTTAAACAAGTACAACCGAATCGTAAAACCTAATTTGGAAAAATTCTCACACCCTGGATATAATTCTTCTTTCCCTTCTTCTACTAATTTAAAGAATCTTTTTGCATCTTCTGATCGTCCATCCCTCACTCCTTCATGTCCCAAATCATCCTCGACATTTCGAAATATATCATGAAGTAATCCATCAATATCGTCATACATGTCAGAACCTTCATCATTACTGCTTGGACATCGAGTCTTCCTCGAGGAAAATCCTTCCCCGTGGAAAACCCATTTGGTGTATCCATGAACAAAATCATTAACAATCAAGTGGTCTTCCACCACATTCCTATGATGCCAAAAACAATTAGCGCACACTTTACAAGGGCATAATATTTGATTTCCTTGGGAAGCTCGTTCAAATGCTTTATCAAGAAATTTATTCACCCCTTGTATGTACTCATCAGTTGACCTTCGAAGGCCCATCCGCCTTTTATCTCCATTATCCATTAAATTAATTTTATCCTACATAACACCAAAACAACTAGTATAAAATTGGTTTATATACTCCTAATAAAAAATCAAATAATAAAAAAGATAGAAAAAAGTCACTTATTGTCAAAATTAGATGGATTTCACTGTTGCAAAATTTAACCGTCACCAAAACCATCACATAAACAGTTACCTAAGGAAAATCTCGTGGTTTCTAACACGAAATTAAAATCCACCAACAAAACCGCCAATTTTGCAAACCAAAAATTACAAAATGTATCATATAATACTAACAACAGAAAGAAAAATAGTAGGCTTATTAGCAATATTACCGAAGAAAAGAAAAGGAGCATCGAAATGATTTTCCACAATAACGAACAAGACAACGAACATCGATAGCAAATATTTTAACAAATAGTGGCTATTAGATTCAGATGTGAGATTTCCAATCACGTGTATTCATTTATGAAATACATAACAAGCTCCAAGCACAAGGCACATGAAAGAACGGAAGTAAGAACTCTTTCCAAAGCTACATTTCAGTAAAATGCAAGAACTCACAGTAAGAAGCTACATTGTATAAAGTGTAAGAACTCACATTAAACTTATATGGGCAACTGAGAACTACATGAATCAGACGGATAAAGTAAAAATTCACACAGAAATAACAGCATAGGCTTCTCTAATTGCGGAAAAATATTGACTTTTACTATTTTAACATCACTGTGAAATGTCTAAAATTAACTTTCACGGGTTTTCTTTTTCCGATTCTTTCAAGGTTGACATTGGTTTTTGCCATAGTTATCGAACAATCATAACTCGTGCAGTGAAAATAAAACGTGGAAATTGAGAATAAAAATAGCAATTACTGAACAAATGAGAAGGAGGATAGCAAACTTACGAATTTTCAGCCACTTCCCTGGTCAGCTTCTCTAGTTTGCTTTTCTTTTTCTCTTAAACCTTTTGGATTGATTCTGACAAAATTCCTAAATGAGGAACCAATACTGAAAAAAGAAAATTCAAGCTCAATTTTTGAAAAATAGTAAACTATAAATAGAGTATTTTCTGTATTTATTCTATACACACATTTTTTAATCTTTCTATGTTAAGAACACTATTATTCTCATTTTGTAACACTTTCCAATAGTACTTACAGAAACAACCAATGATAATGTTATAATGCAAATCGGCAACCGGCCAAGAACAGTGATTAACAGTTTGCAACAATAACGCAGAGAAAGAAGAAAAATTGCAGCAGTAATGCAGATAAAGAAGAAAAATTGCAGCAGTAACACAGAGAAAGAAGAAAAATTACAGCAGTAACGCAGATCGGAAAAGACGGATTCGAATACGTTCCTTTCAACCAGACATATAAAGCACCGATTCGAACTACAATTGAAGTGTATTGCTAATTCAAAATTCACATGATAAACCAATGTTAGTCACAAACATGGAACCAACAGATTTGAACTCAAATAGTTTAGAATACTCTAAGANCTTTTTGATGAATTTCCACCAATTTCCATGTTAAATCTATCGTAATCTCGTGTATTTAGGCCAAGGAACTTACCTCCAATCAATCCTCCTTGAATCCCTCTTCAATTTGTCCCAAAGAGCTCTCAAAATACTCAACAATGGGGGAAAAATGGCTAAAAATCGCGGATGAAATGTTTTAAAACATTCTGCCCAGGTCTGACCCTTCCTTCTTCGCGAACGCGGTCAAACTATCGCGTTCGCGAAGCACATCCTTGCATTGACCAAAGTTTACTCTATGCGAACGCGACACAGAGGTCGCGAACGCGATGCCTTTCTTCCTCCACCTCCGGGAACGCGGAGACCATAACGCGAACGCGATGAGAAATTCTCCTGAGACAAAATTCCTTGTACGCGATCGCAAAACACATAACGTGAACGCAATGAACAACTTGATGAACCCTTCGCGAACGCGGCCTAGACCCTCGCGAACGCGTAGCTTCCAGAACCCAGCCCTTCGCGAACGCGAGCTTCCCTATGTGAACGCGAAGGCCAAAATACCTGCAATTGCTGGACTGATTTTTCTGCAATTTCTCAACTCCAAAAAATGGTCCGATTGACCACCCGAAACTCACCCGAGGCCCCCGGGACCTCAACCAAAAGCAGCAACACATCCTAAAACCTAATTCAAACATGTTCCAATCATCAAAACACCTCAAACAACACCAAAACCATCAAATTACATCGGATTCAAGCCTAAGTTCTTCTAAAACTCCCGAAACACGCATTAGATCAAAAACCCAACCAAACGACGTCCGAATGACCTGAAATTTTGCACACACATCACAAATTACATAACGAAGCTACAGCAACTCTCGGAATTCCATTCTGACCCTCGGATCAAAATCTCACCCATCAACCGGAATTCGCCAAAATACTAACTTCGCCAATTCAAGCCTAATTCTACACCGGACCTCCAAAATCAATTCCGATCACACTCCTAAGTCACAAATCACCTCCCGAAGCTAACCGAATCACCGGAAATCACCTCCGAGCCCTCTAACTCATAAGTCAACGTCCGGTTGACTTTTTTCCAACTTAAGCCTTCCTTAAAGAGACTAAGTGTCTCATTTCTTATCAAAACCAATCCAAATCAACTCTAACACACCAAATACCGATAACGAAACATGAAGAAGCATAAAATGGGGGAAACGGAGTGGTAACTCATGAGACGACGGGTCGGGTCGTCACATCCTCCCCAACTTAAACCAACGCTCGTCCTCGAGCGTACCCATAGTTATACCAGAAGCCGACCAATAGCTGAATGACCTTACCAAGCATATGCACGGGGTGATCCCACGTCACCCTACCTGATATAGGTACGATAACAGATCATAGCTGAAATCTCACAACCCATCTAGACCATAAACCGTAGAACCACATTGCACTTTTCGAAATCATACACAAGATCAGAACCTCACGTCTATATTCAGAATAAACCCGAACCAGCTGTAATAACCTATACCTGCAACCTTAGGTGAGACCACCTGATATACCACATAATCCAAACACTCGAAACGATAGCCTCTAATCACAGCAGTTGCCCACAATAACCAAATACCGATAGAAAACCTCTTATTAGCTAAAGTCTAATCCCAGCACTTTCACATACCGCCAACGATAAATGAAACACGCGATAAATCGTAACCATTTCTCAGATCAAACATTCATGAAGCCACTTCCCTTTGGCTATTACCACAACAGATTTTCGGGCCAAACCTCGATATTATCCTTCTAACAAGCTGAAATTAAATCTGTTCGTATTCATTAATGACTCCAACGATCACCTCGAATCCAACACACCACTTTGGTGATATGACACCTCAACTTAGGCCTAAGACACAACTTGCATAATACATGCACCAATAAGAAACGATTTGAATGTACTCAAATCCTAAAAATGACTCAAACGAAAGAGTTGTACCTCAAGCTCATCAATACCATCACCACACAAGGCTGAGACCCCGTCTCATATCATAGGATAGAATACCTGAATCTACCTCGAAAGGTCATAACTCCACGTAGCCTTGCTACAATGCGCGACCCTATCCAACATTGTTACACATGAAACACCTCAAGTCGCTATGCTCAAAACCGACAGCCACGCACGATTTGATGTCTGAAACCAAAGCGATTCATTACACCCACGGTGAAACAAATAACATACGTCACGCAACCCGATAGGTCATAGCCAATACTCCATTTACCGATCAACACTCAATTACTCTTCCCGCTCGACTTTCTCTATGAACCCCAATAGAACCGCACCACATGTGCCCATATCCAACAAATCATAACGCCTCGCAGCACAGAAAAACCACTCACAGATCTCCCCAGATCACTAACAAGTTCAATAACGATCGAATCAACCTATCCCTCAACAATATAATTCGGGGCCAACCAAGCCAACTCAAGCTAAATACATATCCAATCAGCCTACCAACGAACTCTTTACCAAGAAGCCTAAAGCTGCTCCTTCCACTACTATAACTCCTGCCGGAGCCGTACGATACGGTGCCCGGCACCAAATAAATACCGAAATCCACAATCTCGCCCGGCGACATGCCCAGCCACAAGAAACGCATCCGAAAAAGTCCCTCAATACCGGAACTGAACCAACGGTAGAAACCTCTGCACTGACATCCGCCACGAAGGCCCAATTAAGAAAAACAATCCTTCCCAGCCGTCCGCTGGTCTTTGGAATACAAACTACTCTGCTAGAACATGATTCGATGCACCTCGCCACGCAACCTGTGGCATTTTCCGACGTAGCCCATAGCACAATAGTCTAGAATAACCCAACACTGAGACAACCAGTCTACACCCCAATATCATATCCAAAAATCTAATATACCAAGCAAAGAAAGATCCACTCGGGCCTCCAAATCCCAACAACCGCAAACGGTACCAATACACACGATC